AAGAGGAACATGATATATATTCTCTCATATACAAATTTTAGACCTAGAGCAAAGGATCACCAGCCTATAATTCATAACACCAGAGGAACTAGGATATAAGGTGTATTCTAAGAGTTTCATATAAGGTCTCTCACAGAAGGGGGAAGTGGCAAGTCCCCCAGAGCACATGGGAAGTGAGGGGGCAGTGAATGGAGAGAGAACTAGGAGAAAGAGAAGGGGAAGAGAGGAAAGCTCGTGCGACTAGGAAGATTGAGTCAGAGTAGGAATAGAAGGCAGGAGAGAGAGAGAGAGAGAGAGAGAGAGAGAGAGAGAGAGAGAGAGAGAGAGAGAGAGAGAGACAGAGAGAGAACATAAAAGAGGGAGCCATTATTAGTTTGAAGAGAAAACTGAACCTAAAGAAAGGTCTAGAGACCTACAAGATTGATTCCAAATAACAATTCAAGCAACCGTGGAAAGGATACCATAAATGACCTTCCCAGATAGTGAGATCAACAACTAACTTATCCACCATCATGGAGCCCTGTTGGAAACAGAAGCAAGCACCTATACCTAAACACTGAGTCTAACTAGAATCCAGATGCAGAGGGAGAGGACAAGACCAGGTTGCAGAAACACATAGAGACAGCTGACCTGAACAAGGTGGAGTTAATGGGCCGACCCCAGACTGATAGCTGGGAAGCCAGCATGGGACTGACTCAGACCCCCTGAATATGGGTCTCAGCCAGAAGGACTGAGCAGTCTAAGGGACCTCAGACAGTGGAACCAGGATGTATTCCTGGTGCACAAAAGGATCTTGCAGACACATATCCCATTGAGGGATACTCCCTTAACCTAGAGACAGGAGAGAAGTCCTAGTCCCTACTTCAAATGACAGATTTACATGACCCTACCTGGATGACATTGCCCTACATGTAGAATTGGGGTGGAGGGATGGGAGGGGAGGGTAGTCAGGGTACATGTGATGGGGGAGAGACGGTAAGAGGGAGGGAGAGGGAACTGGGATCGACATGTAAAATAAAAAAATAATAAAAATAAATAAATTAATTAATTTTAAAAAATGAACAGTATTCAGCCAGTAGATGGCACTCTCTTAAAACAAATTTACTCAGCAGCATAGGGCCTCGGATATAGGATGCCACTGCCAATGAAGATTAGTTATTTAAAAAGACAAAAAAAAAAAAAAAAAAAAAAAAAGAAAAAAGTAAAATGGGAAAAAAAGAACACGAAGTTCTGGAGTAAGGAGGTAGGAGTATATATGAAATGTTGTAAGGGGGACAGGGGATCAATATGATCAAAATATTTTGTATGAAATTCTTGAAGATCATGCAGAGAGGGGATGTGGATAAAAGACCGGTACATTGGACTCTTGTCAACAGGACAAATGAGAATGTAACATTTGACATATACTGATGATGCTCCTTGTGATGAGCCATGTCATCTATTTTTTACTCTTTTTCTCTGTCTTCTGCAGGCTCTTTACTGATTTGTTGCATTTAGTGATGTTTTTGGAGCCTCGGGCCTACATCCTAATAAACTCCCCTTAAATCTACCCCCGCCCCATTCATAGTACCCTTTCTATAATAGCACTGAACATGGCCCCAGTTAATAGATCACTTGCTATCTTTAATCATATATGTGGTTCATAAAGCAGCCCATGTCTGATCCACTACTGAATCCCATAGAGCCTAACTAGCACACAGGTGCTGAATGAACTCCAGGTGCTAAGAACTCCAGAGTTGTGACTGCTCACAATTTAAGAAGTACTTCTGCTTAAAAAAAAAAAAAAAAAAAAAAAAAGGTTGATTCCTGTATTATTTCATCACTACAGTGGGACCTGCAAATTAAGCATTCTAAATTAAGCATTCTGAATAGCTATCTAGGAGCAATTTAATAACAAATGATTCCACATTGTTGCTATAGACCTGTTAGATTTTCATTGGTGTGCTATTCTGTGGAAATTTTAGCACCTCTCCCATTCTCCCCTCATCTGCAACCAGCACTTCCTCCCCTAGTACACACTCCTCCACTGCTGCTGGTAGTGCAAACTTGTACAGCCATTTTGGAGGTCAGTATGGCAGTTCCTCAGGAAAATGGGAATCAGTCTACAACAGGACTCAGCAATTCCACTCTTAGGCATATACTCAAATGATCCATATCCATGCAACAACATCTGTTCAACTATGTTCATAGAAGCATTGTTTGTAATAGCAAGAATCTGGAAGCAACCTAGATGCCCCTCAACTGAAGAATGGATAAAGGAGATGTGGTAGACTTTCACAATGCAATACTTACTACTCAGCGGATATAAAACAATGGAATCTTGAAATTCGCAGGCAAATGGATGGAACTTGAAGAAACCATCCTGAGTGAGGTAACCCAGTCACAAAAAGAGGAACATGGTGTGTACTCACTTATATATGGATTTTAGACATAGGGCAAAGGGTCACCAGCCTGTAATTCACAATGCAAGAGAAACTAGGATATAAGGAGGATTCTAAGAGACTCATACAAGGTCCTTCAAAGGAGGAGAAAGGAACTAGGTCTCCCGAGCATATTGGGAGTGGTGGGGCAGTGAGTGGAGAGGTATTTAGGAGAAAGAGGAGGAGAGGAAAACATGTGGGAACAGGAAGATTGAGTCAGGGGACAAATAGATGAGAGGGGAAAAAAGAGAGAGATACCATAATAGAGGGAGCTATTATAGGTTTGAAGAGAAAACTGACTTTAGAGAATTGTCCAGAGACCTACAAGGATGACCCCAACTAACAATTTGATCAACAGTGGAAAGTCTACCTTAAATGCCCTTCCATGATAATGAGATTGATAACTAACTTATATGGCATCATAGAACCTTCATCTAGTAGTTGATGGAAACAGAAGCCGACACCCACAGCTAAACACTGAGCTGAACTCCTGGAATCCAGTTGTAGAGAGCTGAACTCCTGGAATCCAGTTGTAGAGAGCTGAACTCCTGGAATCCAGTTGTAGAGAGCTGAACTCCTGGAATCCAGTTGTAGAGAGGGGGGAGTGATAAGGGTTGGTCAAGACCAGGCTACAGAAACCCACAGAGACAGCTGATCTGAACAATGTGGAGCCCATGGACCCCCAGACTTAAAGCTGGGAAACCAGCATTGTACCGACTCAGACCCCCTGAACATGGGTCTCAGTTAGAATGCCTGGGCAGTCTAAGGGACCTCTGACAGTAGAACTAGGATTTATCCCTGGTGCACGAAAGGACTTTGGGTGCACATTCCCCATGGAGGGATACTCCCTTAGCCTAGAGGCAGGAGGTAGGGCCTAGGCCCTGCTCCCAATGACTTGACACATTTTGATGATTCCTCCTGGAAGACATCACCCTCCCTGTGGAGTGGGTGGAGAATGGGACAGGAGGTGGGGTCGGCAGGGGCATGGGAGGGAGAGGGAACTGGGATGGATATGTAAAATAAGAAAAAATAATAACTATATATTTAAGTTTTTTCATTTTTAATATCAATGACAGTTCCCCTCCCTTCCCTCCTCTAGCTCCTCCCTATGCCTTCCCTCCAACCCACCCTCTTCTACTCATCAGTAATGATAAGGCCTCCCATGGGGAGTCAACAAAATCTGCCACATCAAGTTCAGGCAGGACCAAGCCCCTCCCTGATGGGTGGAGGCTGAGCAAGGTAAACCTTCATAGGCAATGGGCTCCAACAAGTCAGTTCATGCACTAGGGATAAATCCTGGTCCCACTGTCAGTGGCCCCACAAGCCACAGAGCAGTCACCCACATTCAGAGGGCCTTGTTTGGTCCTATGCAGATTCCCCAGCTATTAGTCCACAGTCTGCAAGCTCCCACTAGCTTGGGACAGCTGTCTCTTTGATTTCCTCCATCATGATCTTGACCCCTTTGCTCATATAATCCCTTCTCCCTCTCTTTGACTGCACTTCAGGAGCTTGGTCCAGTGCTTGGCTGTGGATACTTGGATCTGCCTCAATCAGTTAATGGATGCAGGCTCTGTGATGACAATTAGGGTAGTCATCAATCTGATCCCAGGGGAAAGCCAGTCCAGGCACCCTCTCCACCACTGCTAGGAGTCTTAGCTTGGGCCATCCTTGTGGATCTGTGGGAATTTCCTGAGCACTAGATTTCTCCCTAACCCCATAATGTCTCCCTCTATCAAGATATTTCTTTCCTTTCTCTCCTCTGTCCCTCCCACAACTCATACATCCTGCTCCCTCATGTTCTCCTCCTCTCTCGCCATCATTCCTCCCTTCCCCTCCCAATTTACCCAGGAGATTTTATCTATTTCCCCTTCCCAGGGGCATCCATGAATCTCTCTCTTAGGGTCCTCCCTAGAAAAGGCATTTTCTATGTTCTGCAGAACTAGATACTGTCCTGCACCCTGGATCCCCCAGCTGCCAAGATACAGACTGATCCCAGTTTCTTATAAGAACTTGAGAATCACAGTTGCAGTTTCTCATTAGTAATTATTCCTGGCCCTGTCTCTCGTAGCTAGTAAGAGGACAAAGAGCCTAGATCTGTCCTTGATGAAGGCAGCTCTCAACAACCTTCTAGCTTCCCCATTCGAATGTCCTGCATTGCAGGCTGACTCTCGCCCAGCACAATCCTGCCTTACTCATCCCTTAGAATGCTGTCTCTAGTAAACTCTTGTCTCTGACTCAGCACATCAGTCTACATCTAGCTCAAGATCATCTTTCCACAGATGGGGAAACTGAGGCAGAGAACCCAAGTGATCTGCTTGAGGCATCATAGGCTAATTAGGTGAGAAGCCTTGTTATAAAATCTACATCTGTGACCCGGAGTGATCAACTGTAGTATTATAGTATTTGACCTATTCCCCAGGCAACTTTTATAACTAGAAGATGAAACCCAATGCTAAGAATTTGGAATCTCAATAACAAATGTTTCGTTATAACTTCATCTTCTGTAGACTTCTGGCTATGAGAAACCATTTTCAAACTTCCAATATAACTATCAGACAAACACAAACAGAGAAGCCAGGCTGAAGGAAGGATGGCATCACATTTTATTAACAGCAACAAAACCCAGTACCATACAGACAAAATCTTACTTCAGTGGCAAATCATATACATAAACATATACCCACGTGTAGTACTGGGGCCAAGTTTGGACATTGAACATTAGGCACCAAGTTCACAACCACCAAACAAAACATAGTTCACAGTCCTTCAGTAAAGTTTAATTTTTTTCATCATAATATGAGACAATATTTAACAGCTGTGGCAAATAGGTGTACTTCTTAAGTCTAATTCTCATACTAACTATGGAAAAAGGCCAATTGGCCTTCAGAACTGTGAAGGGGATTATCAACCTCTTAAAATTACTTTTTTCTCTGTTTAGAGCTATGTTATCTTTGTGGTAGACAGCCTCACATATGATGTTTCTCAACTCTCATTACATGTCTGAGCACATCTGTACTAGAAATCATTTTACTATAAAAGCTGTGGCTTAATAGGATTAATATCATCAGGATTGGTTAATTGGATTTCTAAGAAGCAGAAGAGGGTAAACTGCAAACTCAGGAGATTTTCAGCATTCAATAGTTTAATGCTAATAATCTGAATACTGTTAGAAACCTTTTCAGTTCAGCTGTTTAAATCATTTTTCAAGGTGTGTCAGGACTGAATTAATCAGTAAGCTAATGCACACAAATCTAACAGATTAGTGATGAGAATTCTCCCTGCAGTTTATTATGAATCTAGGAAACTCCTTACGTACTGGTGAATATCTAAGATATCATTCAATTTTCTAAGTTAGTTAAAATGCCCTTGAATTGCAAGATAAAACAGGGCAGAAAAATCTAGATTTTTGTTCTTACAATGGGCAAACCTTGAAAGATCTTAAGTCCTCATATCAGCATCCAGAGGCATACGTTTACATTTATGATAAAGCTACTGTCATAAATTTGGGTTGGCTGGCATGTGCTGGCAATGATTTAGTTCTTCTTAAATAAGAAATATGTTTACATCTTTTAAAAAGGAAGTGCTGTTTAGGGAAACCTTTGGAACATATTTTGTTTTTTCTTATTTTTTTTAATTGGCAGTTTTCAAATGGGAAAGAGAAGCATAGGCATCATTCCAGGCCCACAATAATTCTAAGAATCCTAAGTCTGGATATATAAATTCATTCAATTTAATGCTTGGTATAAAACCAAATAATTAAAAGAAGTAATATTATCAGATTGAGCCCTGTATTTGACTGTCTCAATGAATAACAATAGAGAAAATTTCATGTGTCCTTTGGTACTTGAGAAAAATGGCATGCTACTATTTAACCATATTGAAGACACGGGTTGATTTAGAGATTTAATTCTGTGATCAGACAGCCAGGGAACACCTAAAAAATGCTAATTTTCTTAAATAAGCACAGAATGTTACTGACGAGGGCCAATTCATGTTTAGATACAGTCCAGAAAAGAAAGTGCCTATTGTAGTTTGTTTCAAATGGAATTGGTTAGTGAGGCCACGTAGGGAAGATTTCAGCTACTATTTTACTCTGCACATCTGGGTACCTACATATAAATCACAGTAAAGTGTTTTATTTCTGAAACCATCCATTTTGCATTAAAGGCAAGAAAAGACGAACTCAGAAATTATTCCTCACATGTACTTCACCATTTTGAAACTAAGCGCTCACAGGATTTTATTCAATCAACCAACACAAATTAGTCTAACAAACAGGATGAAACTTGATCTTACTAAAATTATCTAGGTAATTAATTCTTTGGATTGTTGTCACTTTACAAAGACTGAGAATAAACTGAGGAGGGTTAAATCAAGTGCACTTAAATGGCCCAATGACACAGGCTATAATTCATCCACATTTTCCTTTTGATGGTGATGGGATCAAGCAGGAGGCCCGAGGGTCAAAAAGATCAAGATCACAGCAGCAGTTTAAACTTGTACATTACAAAGCAGAGAAGGGCCACGGAGGTGGAAACACCAGTGATCTTTAGTAGACCAGGCACAGAAGGCAGGTTCCTCTCAAAGAAGGTATGGGTAATTTCAAATGCTGGAACATCCTAGATGAATGAACATAGATCATTAACAAGAAATCCTTGCATATCTAGAGGAAACAAAGCCTATCTGTAATAGTGTGTATTTCTATCCCCAAGACAGTTACATTTATAATAAAAGCAGAGACTGAAAGAAGGTCAACACAATTTTTATGTGCTATAGTTTGTCAATAGAGATGGAGTAGTCAATCTTACCTTGGAGTCAGGCTCTTGAACCCATATGTCTTCCTTTGCAACTTTTCCTAGAGCATTCAAGACCTGAAAGAAAATTAATTATGGCATTATAATGTGACACAGACTTTTGACAGACTCAAGGTCATATTAAACATTGATGAACCCACAGGTGTGTGTCAGAGAAATGTATACATAGACTATCAGTGTCAAGGAATAGATGGAAGAATGGATAAAGCACATTTGTTATTCACATATAATGGAACATTATTCAGCTTTAAATAAGAATGAAATGCTGTCACTGTGACAACATGGATGGACTTAGAAAACAACACAACTTTAAATGAAATCTTCCATGCCTAGAAAGACAAACAGAACATATGATCCATTATATGCAGAAGCCAAATAAGTGGATCCTATAGGAGTATAAAAAAAGAACAGAGGCTACTAGAAGCTAACAAAGGCAATAGGAAATAAGGGAAATTAGAGTGAATAATAGGTACCAAAATATAGCTCAATTGGAAAAATACATTCTAGTATTTTATAGCAATATAGGGTCACTAAAGATAATCACATTGTACTATATAGTTGCAAAGATCTAGAAGAATTTGGAATGTTTCAAAGAAAGGATACATGTTTGATATGAAGGAGATGCTAATTATCTTGGTTTGATCATTGTCCGTTATTCCTAGGCATCAAGGTATCAATGTGTACTCGTATCAATAAAATAGCATAAGTATCTAGTTTCTTATTGTCTATGCATATAAATAAAACAAAGAACCAGAAACATCAGATGACAAAAATTGTGCCACAGGGCTGGGCTATAGACTTCAATTAAATTCCCAGTACTGATTCCTGAGATGTAATTACAACTGAGAAAGAGTGCACCTTAGATTTTTTTCCCTTACCTCTCTAGCTGCTCGTTCTCCAGCTTGGACTGCTCCTTCCATGTAGCCACTCCACTGTGTTGCTGTTTCTGTGCCTGCAAAGTAAATCCTGCCTACTGGCTGGCGAATCACCCTTCAAGGAGATAAAGAGGTCACACAGGGTTAATGGGAAGATGCTGAGGGGAAATGAGCCAATCACTTACTGCCATCATCTAGTCCACTAAAGGAAGGGAAACCAATCAAGGAGAAAACACTCATGAGTCTCAGCCCAAAGTAAAAGTCTAGTCTTTGTTTCATTTACCTGGGCACACAGATCTAAGCTATTAAGCCTGGGAGAAGCAGACTCTAAGATTACTCATCACTAAAAGTGATGATGACTATTTTCAGCTAGCCAGTCAGCCTGGGGTACAGTTTCCTATAAAGTATCTCTTAAGGCTGAGTAGGTGATCCTTGATCCTATGCCTACAAGGCAAAGAAGTAGTGCACATGAAACAAGGTGGTTGGTTCTAAGAAAAGGGAGTCTAGCAGGTCTCCTCTCCTCCCACCTCAGCTATATACACTGAGGACTCTTCCCTCTGAAAAATATCTGGTGCTCCTCTGTTGACAAGAAAGATGTGTTGGACAAATACATCCATTGTCCTGTGAGTGGACAGCTGAGAGCTCAAAAGGCTCCACAAAGGACAATGTAGTTGTCTTCATCTCACAAGTGCTGCTGTCACCTGTAATCCTGCCTACTACACCTCTGTGCGTTAACATCTACTTCTCTGAGGGTATCCACTGAGTTACAAGCTGACAATTTGTCTGGGATTTACAAATAAGAATACTGCCTATTTCTACAATTCTTAGTGAACACAGCTCGTTTGAATGTGTGCAAACCCTGTATGAGTAAGTGCAGTGATTGGGTAGTACCTTCCATACTGGGTCATGATGCCAGGAGGGAAGTAGGCTGTGTAGCAGCCCCCGGAGTACTGCTCCTCACACCAGTTCTTCTCCTCATAATGGACTGGCTGTAGTTCAATGGAGAGAAAAATTACAACAGAAAGCAATAGTGGAACTATAATCTGCCAACAGTGAAGGCTCTTATGTATTTTACATTAATAAAAAGTTTATATTTAAAGCAGAAAGTAGAACTCAGTGGTATGAATTGCCAGGCCCTGAGTTTGAGCCCTGGCATAAGAAAAGTAAGAAAATTAGAAAGAAAGGGAAAGGGAAGAAGTAGGAGAGAAGGGAGGGGTAAAGAAATCTGTGAATGAAGCTGAGTGGCAGAACACTTTTCTAGCATGCACAAGACCCCATGTTTAATTCCCAGCATTGCAGGAAAAAGGAGTATATTGCAAAATAGACACTGTTTATCTTAATTTCTTGCCTAAGGGAGTCAAGACATAGCTCAATACTTGGTAGAGAGGACACTCTCAGTCATGCAGATTCTAAAGACTAAAGCTGAGTCTTCAGGAAACCCTATCAACAAATAAGTTTTTGAATAGGTCTTCTCCGCTGAGTGATTAAGACAGGCTGGGAGCAAGCAAGTAGTAGGCAGAGCACAAAGCAATTTTTCAGAATCTCTTCCCTAAACTGGAAAAGTTTATGACAAAAAATACTGCTCAAAGGAGACAATTAAGATGAAAGTGTTCCTTGGGGACCATGAGGGAGCTTTCCATGACTTTCCTGTCACATTCCAAGCATTTATTATTTGCTCAGAAAAAGTCCTCAGCTATTGCTGGGCTCTTCAGAAACCATTTCCTTCTCACTTCTTTCAGAAGCAGTATAAAAACCCTTGGAGTGCCAAATGAGGTATGGAGTGAGCCTCCATGTAGAAAAATGAATTTGTATGTCTTTGACCTGGGTAAACATGAAGTCTGCTGTGTTAAATATATATCACAGTGCCTTCAGCAACATATGATGACATACCTGGGGTTTTCTTTTACAGCAAGCACTTGACAATGACAGAAGCACAAGATCTCTGTTATGCAGAGCAATCTCACTGATCTGTGACATAATGATTGTGGCTCCAAGTTTCTTACCTCAATTGAATGCCTACTATGCAGTGAACACTTACTTAAAAAGCCCAAAGTGATGCCATATCACAAGTTCCATGTACCTGACACTAGTTTTTAATGCCTTTGGGTTTCTGAAATCAGTTCTCTAAATTAAACACGCCCATCTATATTCTCTGCTAAGACTTACAAGAAACCACTTTGAACCAACAGAGAAAACCCTGTTAGAGATTGGGGATTCTTACATATAAAGCTTCTTGAGATTCCAGAACTTTGGCATACAGCTCACAGATTTTCCTCTTCCTATAGAGAAGAGCAAAGGCATATTAAATAAGTCATAACTGATGGGCATAGAATAAACACAGTAAGTTCTAGGGTACTTGATAGTGACTTCCTCAAAGAAAAATTCAGTTTAATAGCCTCTTGCAACTACAAAACAAATAGTCAATTAATCCCTGAACTCAGTTTATATGCCTCAGTGAATTTCTGTATGCTGATTAACATCATATGCCTCAGCACAGTAATTTGAGAAATCAACAGAATATTCCTTCTTTTTTAAAAAAGAAAAGGTCTCACTATGTATAGCCTGTAACTTGCTATGCAGATGAGGGTGGTTTTAAACTTGCTGTGATCCCTTGTCTACACCTCCTGAGCACTGGCATTATGCGTGTTTTGTGCCATGCTTGGCTAAACTCTTCTTGAAAGAAGATACAGTTTAAACTCATGACTATTCCTGATGAAAATTTTAAAAACCTAATTTACTAAATTTACTCATCTTGTAAATTAATAGCTCTATCTCAAGTATTGAATATATACTATTTACATTTATTCTTTTCCACCTTTATATAATTTAAATATGTAGAAATGCCTCCAAAATATTTGTTAAAGGCTAATAAACAGAAAATATTTTTTTATGAAAAAGAGGCAAAAGATGCTATTCAAATCCATAAAACAAGCACTAAGACCAGATGAGAGAAATGGTTTAAGACGTGTATGTATGTGTGAGTGCATGCAAATATGCAAGAGTCAATCTTATTAGTAATAAAGAAAACAAATATAAAAATATACAAGTTTACATTGCCAATAGCAGCAGAAAATATTTTTTAAACATAACCCCAATTTCTTTAAATAGTGTGGAACAAAATATAAGCTTATTACTCTTGATAACATTATTTTTTACACCATTGATATAACTCTTAGAACTCCTATCATATTGAGTATAGAAGGTTAAGTTAGAAAGAGGAGGTGAAATTATAAATGTACTTATTGCTATACTGTTTCGATGCCAGATCTTAAAGGAGACAATATCCCTCATGAATGATGTCACACAATGTATAGTGGATGTTAATTCTAGGACAGTTAAAAAATGCTTGATTAAAAGCCCTAACATACAGTTAGGACAGTGTTAAGATTACGGCTTATTTGCTTTCTCTGTCTAATCTATAGACTCCATTCAAGAGGTGACACTGAAGTTCAGTGAGCTGCAGATTATTCCTTCACTACAATTCAGTTAAGTAATGGGAAGGTAAACATTTACTTTTCCTAGCATTGAACCCATAGTAGATGCTCAATATGTGTTGAGTCAAATTCTATGCTCAGTCCAGTATGGTATCCCATTTTCTATACCACAAAGAGATAGCAGGTTCTCACTTTATGAGGGATGTAAGCAGTAATTCTGACATTCAGAGTCAATTAAGAATATGCCAAGTAAAGTAGGAATATTACCAATCAGTATTCTAAAAAGCTGGATGTGTTTAACTTATTTTCTTGAAATATAATAAAATTTTTACAAGAGTTAAACTTAAAAATCAACCTTCATTGTAATTAACTTTTAATCAAATAATAAAAGCATAATAAAGCATCATGTGCTATATTTCATATTATTAAAAGAATCAAACACACAAGCGAATTACCTTTCCCTCATTAAAATTAAAACTTTTAAGAAGATATATGGAAGACAATGATGTTATACCAAAAAAGTTTTTATCAGTATGTGACAGGGATGGGACACTGGGCTTCACACACACAAAACATGTGATTTACCAATGAGCTACATTCTCTACTGAGACTAAAGCATTTAGATTAGTTTGGATTAAAAATTAATAGAATATATTTTAAATTGCAGCCAAACAAGGTCACCATGCAAATCATTTTGGAGTTATATCTGTTCACCAGCTTAATAATCTGCTCCTCATCATAATCACCTGAGCAAGTGGTTGGAAATACAAATTCTCGGCCTCTATTTCAAACCTACTGAATCACTTTCTATAAGGCTCAAGAAAATAGACTTTCTAAATACCTTTTGGGAGAGTTAGACACAGTAAGTTTTGAAAACCTCTGCTCTCATCACTGACATATTCAGTAAAGGTTTTTGTTTTACAAGAACTTTACAGTGCAGTCAGTATGTGGAATCATAACCAAATGTCTACCTCTAGCCTGGTATTTATTTTATTATTAACAGAAAGGAAAGGCAGGAAATCCAAAAGAAAATGTCAAGCTTGGTTTGGTGCAATGAAAAAAAAAAAATTGGATGTATTATCTGCTGCTCTTGACTTTGTCACATGTTAGGGGCTATGATTCGAATGTATGTGACCCCTCCCCAAGAATTCCCATGTTAGGGTTAGTAGGATGGTTCAGTAGGTACACATGCTTGCTATATAATCTTCATGACTTGAGTTAAATCCCTGGGATCCATATCATGGCAGAAGTGAACTGATGCCAAAAAAATTGTTTTTTGTTCGCCACTCATATATTATGGCATGCATGAAGCTACACATACACACATGCATGCACAAGTGTGTGAACACACACACAAGCAACACACACACACACACACACACACATACACACACACAATCATGTTAAGATTTTTCCTTGTTAGAAAGTTATTACCAATGACAATATTCAGAGGTGAGGGGTAGTACTCTTAGGTATTTTGGTTACCTGAAATTATCTCACAGGGAAACCCTACCTCATAACCACATAAACTGAATACAAATATATAAAATAAAATTAATACATGCACACAGACATTGACTTAATCAAGGAAAACATAATGAAGTATATAAAAAGTTGGTTTGTTGAGGTTGAGAATATTTGTAAACTATTGTGCTTTTCTTGCTGCTGTTTTACTATTATTGGTGCAACAAACAGAAGGTAAAGGCAACCCTTATTGATTTTGCAGATATAAATTGTTTACCTTGTTTCTTTATGTAGCTTAGCAAGTCGATCAGCTTTTCGGGCAAGTATGAAGCTGGATAAGGAAGCCACATTTGAATTGTCAATTATAGTCACGATAAATGCACATCACTACTTACTCAGCATTAATGAACTCTCCCAACCCTCCCCTTCTCCTGGCAAGGACACTCAATAAATCTGGATAATTATCAATACACATCTACCATTAATGCCATGGTACACCCCTTACTCCCTGTGCTAATGCTCTTCAGAACCAGTAATTGATGCCCTTAGCTCACAGATAAATTCTTCCCCAGGAGTTATACTCTAGCAGCAGACACCTGAATATCCTGCCCCTCCTAAGAGGCAATTGATATCCAATTATTAAGTTGGCCCATTCCCTTGTCTGAATTTGGGACATTCATGAAAGTTCATTTCAGCTTCTTGATCTCCATGAGCTTGCTGAGATTTTGATTTGGATAACAGTGACATTCAACTCTCTCTGTAGCTGGTCCTGCTTCACTCCCTACCACAAAGACAGTAACCAGGCAACTGATCTGGGTCTGGAAGTACAGTTCTGAAATTGCAGCTGCTTAAGATTCTGAACAGGAAAGTTTAAAACCAGTCTTGCTGCAAAGTAATTTAGTGAGACCCTATATTAAAATAAATCACACAAGAAAGTAGTAGACATTTGCCTAGCATGTACCAAGCCCTAGGTTCAATACCCTGTGCTGTACACACAAAAAGGGGGAGAATGGTGGCTATTGCTTTAATATAACAAGAAGAGCTGGTCAACAACAATAATGAAAGATAAAACATTTCTTCTCAACACTCATAGTGTTGTAATAATAACAACAAAAGAGATTACAAAAGAGGAAAAGAAAATTGAACAAGTTTATTATCCTTTGCAGTGTTTGTCCTTTGGGAGACACACTGGTGAAAAGTATCACAGAGGTGGTAAGTCTGGCTTATACTACATATAGCTTTTTTAAAAAAATAAAGCTCATTTTAGAAACAATGGAAAGCAGTTTTAAGTGTTTGAAGATGAGAAATCATGAGAAGGCAAATATATCAGAAGCTACATTTGGAGGTCAGCTTGCAGATTCCTCTGGCTCTGGCTCTGGCTCTAACCTATTAAAGTGCTGTTTCCAGTAAAGGAGAAAATGTATCTCCTAACATAAGTGAAATGCAGGGGAGTATGGAGAGACCTTCTTTTTACCATTTTAAATCTCAGACTGAAGGCAGGCAGAGAACTCTCATGCATCACAATTGTTTTCAGTGATTCTTCATATTTGGAAAAATAAAGTCTGGCCTTCCATAAACATAAAATACCAGTTAAACTGGAGGAATAAATTCTAGTGATCTACTGCACAGTAGGATGGCAATAATGAATATTATTGTTTATTTTAAAATAGGTAAATAAGATTTTCAATGTTCATATCATAAAGAAATAACCATATAAGTAGAGGATATACTAACAAACCTGATTTGATCATTTCACAAAGTAGATATGTAATGGAACATTTTTATCCAGATATACATCTTTCAGCAATAAAATAAAATAAACCAATAAATATATCTTTCCTAGGAATTTCCTAAACAATTCCAGCAATACTCAGAAGGATGCTAATACATATGTCCATGTTATAAAGCCAAAGCAACTCTAGTACAGCATAAGGCAAGAACATTTTAAGTTCTTCCATCGATAACTGAACTATCACTGACTTTCTGAAACTCGCATCCCAATCTGTTTTTTGTTGGGCTATAGAAATGCAAAACTTGCCAGGAGTTGGTGGTGTATGCCTTTAATCCCAATACTTGGGAGACAGAGTCAGGTAGATCTTTGTGAGTTTGAGGGCCACCCCGGTCTACAGAGATAGTTCCTAGTTCCAGGACAGGCTGTAAAAACAATGCAGAGAAACCCTGTCTGGGGGGAAAAAAAGCAAAACTGACTAAACTACCTGGATTCTGGATCCTGATCTTGTCTTGCACAGTGGGACTAACAATGAAGAAAATATGTTGCTTTTTATGGTCATTATATCGTATCCTCCTGCCTACCTCAGGAATTTAGTTCTATTTCTTACATTACAGACAGAGAAGTGATTATAAGCCATTTTGTCAGTAACCCAGGCAGAGCCTGCTTCCCTTCCCAGGGTCATTGGAACATGGTTCTGTCCCTTTTCTCTTTGTAACTTTCCTAAAATGGCATGATGTGTTGTTTATTGAACTCACATATCTCTTCAGGAAGGAGGCCTGCATTTTCCTAAAGCAGAAACCATTGGTCTCTAGAAGTCATTTGACTGTTATTAATGTGTGTTCTTTAGTTATAGTGCAGCACAATAAAAGGCTTTTGATATACATAGGCTATTTTAGATGGACAAAGACATGCAACTAGGAAGGTGTGTCCCTCCTTAACATTTCTTCCTTACCTGGAGCTCTAGTTTCCCATAGGCTGGTGGACTATCAGTGTACTTTTGAAGATAAGCATTGGTAGTAAAAGATAACTACAGGCCATCCATTTGTAGCATGGCTCATCTTATATTGATACTGATATTTTGTATACAGGTGTTGGGAAAGCCAATCAAGTCCAGAGACATTGTATTTGAAAAATTTTACTGGGTAGAGTTGTTCTCTTCCTAGAATAACTGTGGACATTCTGCATCTAGGAAACATTGACGATCATACTGTCTGTCAGGCTGCCTTTTTTACTCTAACCTTATCATGTAGGTTTTTGTAGGAGAATCGGTAGGCAGGTACAAGTTTTAAATGGTGTCAAGTTAGTTTTCCAGTATCCTTTTTACCACACACCAAAACATTGCTAATAGATATGCTAATACAGGAAAACATAATATAATGTATATTTATCATTGCTTTAGCCTACTTATAAAGCAATATCCTTTGCTAGCACCTATACCAACACAAAAGAGAAACTGAAGCCAGCTCTAACTTACCCCATGATGGCAGGCAGTGAACCATCTGGTTTGGTGTCATCCAGAGTGATTGAAATTGGTGCTTCCTCATCTTCAATGATCATGCATCCACAATAGTCTTATCCAGGAGAAAATCAATGAAGGGATTGAAACCACATTAGAGATACACACATATATAGAATATACATAAACTATTTTACTAAGGAGAAAGGAAAACGTCAGACCACTAGTCTTTCCTCCCATTCTAGACAGTTTTATTTTAAAGCACACATGACTATACAAGGACATGCATTCCTTATGTAGAAAATGGCCTACCTCTATAATTTTCCCATAAAGGGCTATGACTCATTCATGGCAAAATGGTAAGGTGGGGAACGTGATAAAATAGCCCTCAATGTAGGAACACATGGAGAAAGAGATGGGATGTGCTGGAAGGAATCACTTCCATTAACACTAGAAGTTGTGAAAAGGATTCTGCTGGGGTGGAGAAAAAAAAGAAAAAAGGAAAAAAAAAAAAAAAGGATTCTGCTGAATATGAGCAGAAACCGTATCTGGAAAGCTCCTGTGTCCTAAACCCTGCCTCATTTAATAATCAAACACCCTGATAAGCATTTGCCACAAAGCTTTATAATCATTTTATGTTTAGAGATTGATGCTCATAAGCTGGTGAAGTCCAGAAATAGCTGGCTTCATAGCAGCACTGTTTCCACAAGGCCCCCCTGGTTTCATTTTGCTGAAGAAGTGTAAGCAGCAAGATAAATGCCAGGAGCTTGACAGTGGTGAACCCATAATTGATATTCCCATTGCAAGTCCGTCTTGTTCTCCCATTGTCAACAATCACTCTTGAGGCCATTCTGTGAAATTTAGAGACAGATTTACAATTTCTCTACAAATTTAAAAACGTGTCTTTTCTATTCAGCATATTCTGTTCAATATCCCTAAAATGTGGTTTCTTTACTTAATAGTTTAAACACAAATGAGAGCAGCCTACCCTTTTTCTTCCAGAAGGCTTCCTTGTAATATACCATGCACTTGATGACAGCCCCCATTGGAAGACGTTGAATTAACTGGTTTCTCTCAGATGGAAGTTCTGGTTTGAAGTGGATCTTGGCCGTCAAAATTGGTGGGATGGCACTAATGACATATTTACACTGAAATTCAATATGCAAAATACCACTGAAACTTGAGCTGCAGCCTTTGCAAGGGGTACAGAGCACCATTAAATAAAAAATAAAGCCACTGTGAAGCATCAAAGTAGAACAAGGTAGGTGGGCTGGTAAGTTTTGTCAACTTGACACAAACTAGAGTTAGCTTGGAAAAAGGAGCTACAGCTAAGGAATGTCCTCCATAAGTCAGGCTTGTGGGCTTGTCTGTGGGGTATTTTCTTGATTAATGTTTTATATGGGACAGCACAATTCACTGTGGATGGTATCACCACTGGACAGATGGTCTTGAGTAGTATAACAGAGCAAACTGAACAAGTCATGGAAGCAAGCCGATTAGCAGCACTCCTGCATGACTCCTGCCTCTGGTCCTGCTTGAATATCTGCAGTGACTTCCCTCAATGATGGGCTAGGATCAAGACTTGAAAGCCAAATAAACCCTTTCCAAAGGTGCTTTTAGCTATAGTGTTTATCACAGCTACAGAGAAGCAAGCCAGGACAGTAAGTAAACCAAATATGTCAGTCTGGAAGACTTGAGGTAGATATATGCTAGAGTTAATTATATGACTGATTAGATTACAGTATGATTAGGAGTTGTAAAAGGCACAAAATGTATTTACTACAAATTCATTTGCCTACAATGGGTTACCTCATAGTGTTCATGATTCAGTGTCTCTACAATGATGTTGTCATCTGTTTGATCAATATAAGTAACAGGAGAGCTCAGCTTCACTTTATCCCCAAGGAGGTCCATCAGCTTTTCACTTACTTGGCCAGCTCCACCTACAAATTTCCGTTCCTAATGGATAAGGTAAGCAGAAAAGAAAAGTTATAAAAGGAAAATGGTGGAACATTTGCCATTAATTGATAAATCTCCAAGAAGGTAAATGCCAGACCTCTATCCTTGGCATAGCCAATTGTGGGAAGAATCATTAAGATAGAGAGAGTAAGCCGAGATATCTAAATTATCATTCTCAGCACAGTTTCTAGCAAAGAAAATCCATTGATAGCATATAAAAGCAGAGACAAAAAAAATATGTTCTATGCCAATGCTGTACTGATCAAATGCAAATAGCAAGCCTGGCAACTTCAAATCTGTGTAAGTATGCTGTATGTGAGGAACCCTGGGAAAGGAAGGTAACTATTTGATCCTAGGGGATGTGGTTTCTACCTCACCACAGAGTTACTTGCCTGAGCAGGTAAGGACATAGAAAATATTATATTATAGATGACATGAGTTTAAAAAAAATCAAGCATAGCATACAATTAGGGTTAGCAATGATCTATCAAAAATTGCCAAATCAGATCCTTAGGAACCTCAATTTCAGCTTTTGGATACCTTCTTCTTAAAATCAACTGTAAATTTCATAGTCAAGGCAGAATATTGGTGGCTAAGAAATCTGTTTCTTTCTTTAAACATTGCTAAGTATTTCTCTTGTGCTGCACTAAAGGATCATTAGTTCTTTATCCACTGTCACCTGCTATTCTTATCATGGATATTGTTCAAACATAATCCAAAAGGGTAAATTCTTAATACAGCATATTTGGTTACAACATAGGAAATATTTTTAGCCTCTGTAGGAAATTCTTTGAATGACTAGAAATGCATGTCAGTAACTGAGGGTCAGGCCACAGACCACAATTATGATACTTCACTTATGAGTAGTCATGCAATAACCTTTGCAACTGTTTAGTGAGAACACCAAAGTTCTTTATAAAACTCATCAGAGAGTGATTAAGACTTAAATTTATCACTTCTACTTTATGAAGAAATTGAAATTATTTATCACTGAATTGGTTCTATCGTTTTATGTTTCCAAATAGGTGCTTTGAAATCTAGTATAGTAGAAAAATCATGGACTAATTATATCTGTTCACTATCTTCTCTGTTTAGAATTTATTAAATTGAATATAAAGGGGTAAATGTTAAGATATTTTTAAAGATATTGTGATAATGTATTGAGATTCAAAATCTAAACTCTACTTTCTAAAAGATCACATAAAAAATTTTCAGACATATTTTTAGATGAAGGAATTATCAAGGCAAGTTAGCTTCAGAACTGACAAAGTATACCTGGCCTCCACTGGTAACTGAGATCTAGAAGTATTCTTTCTCTTAAATTAAACAATACAAATAACCCATGAGTTAAGATATCTCAGAAGGTTACAAAGAGTAATAGTAAACTTATGTCCATAAGAACATATTTTTAAAATGCAAATATCCTATATTAATTTGGGAACTTCTGATGATCACCTGAGGAGAACAATAGTTTATTTGAAGGCAAAGTCTAAATTCATAAAATGCACTCAAAATTCTTGGACTCAGGTAACACCATAAACTAGAATTTATCTGCAACAAATTATTTATTCTTATCCTACTCAGGCATAACATACCCAGATAAGAGTTATTCTCTTTGGATAAGGGAGAGCTCTGCAATGAATGTCAGAGTCTAAAGAATAGGGATTTAGGATTTTGCCTTTCCTGTTAGCTTATTATGCATTTAGTCAATGAATTAAATGGCTTCACTCATTAGTAATGGAAATGTACAGAAGCTCAAAAAATTGCAAGGGGACAACTAAATTTTAAATTCCAAACTAAAGAACTTACTATTAAAAAAGAGTGGACAAAAATAATTTGTGTGAATTAAAAGCATAACTTCCATTCAACAGGATTTAACAAGAAAGAATACCTGTGAGAAACAGGTGGCATAAAGAAGCCTATATAAAGAACAGAGATGATTTTAAGTATACTAATTTTATAAATACTACAATATTCTTGGGAATGAACTTATTTTCAGTAGTTTAGCTGCTTTATGATTTTCCTACACTTTAAAGGAACTTAATAATTATGATATAATTCAAATAAAACATTCAAAATAAAACAGTAATTCAAAATGAAATATTCTTTAGCAATGAGCTTTTCAGGAATAAAAGAGGAAGTGAGAAAATTTTCAGACATATTTTTAGATGAAGGAATTATCAAGGCAAGTTAGCTTCAGAACTGACAAAGTATACCTGGCCTCCATTGGTAACTGAGAATATCCTAGTGGTGCCACCACACTGTTTCACATACCACAGGAACCACAGGGCAGATACCTCATGTGGCTCAGAAGTCACGTTGATATTCACAAAAAGAGTAGCAAATTCCCGAGCAGTTCTGTTCACAGAATAGGTGGAAATCACATGTCAATACACACAGAAAGAAGAGAATCAAGTCTTGAAAGTTATTCTCTAACATTGCCTGCACACAATATAATAGATGCATTATAGCTGTTCAAACTATTATTACAATTACCACACTACTTGCTCTATATTCCAGGCATACTGTCATTCACTAGTTAAAATGTGCCTATTTCTGTCTAGAAAATTCTATTCCCTTATATCACTCACAGGTCTGAACCTCTCCCCTTCCTCTTGGTTATTCCTGGAAGACATAATTCTCAACACCATCTTCTTCATTCTCCTTTCTGTAAGAAATTTCTAACACCCTAACTACATCTATTTTTCTCTCTCTCCTATTCTAACAATATGCCATTCCTGAAAGATGCTGCTCCAGAAAAATCTAACCATCCACTCTCCCCATGTTTTTGTGGTCATTCATGTTTTTACAAAATAAATGCAAAATGTAATGAAAACAAATATGTACAAAGTGAAAGGAACAGAAACAAGTCAATGGATAGAAAAGTAAGTGGATTAAAAACTGAAGTGGTTTTAGAAATGCATGGTAACATAACAGACACACAAGCTGGCTTTCCTGGGTCTCTTACACAGTATGAGCCCCAAACAAGGGGAGTCCACACAAACACACACACACACACACACACACACACACACACACACACACAGGAACATATACAGGGTATATGGTGCCAGTGTGTACAATCACAAAACTCTTGGATTCAGGCCACCCAGTATGAGGGAGAACACACATCTTGGTTGGCCTGGAATACATCTGCTTAATGGCTGTTGACTTGGTGAACTGCAGTCCAGTAACTCCTCTTAGGGAAACTATATCTGAAGGTGGCCATTCTTAAGAGGTACAGTGTTTCATGGGTCATCTGACAGTAAATACCACGTCCCTACTTTATATTTATTTTTATATCTTCCACTCTTAGCCCTCTGAATTATCATGGATGTTAGCATCTAACCCTATCTGTCTTTTCCTGACTCTCAAATGCTGCCATGGTTGGTTTCTGGGAAGATGTTATTATTCCCACATTATCTAACATCAAGCTTACCCCTAATCTTATCCTATATCTAGAAGATAACATCTTACCCCTTTGGGCCACCTAGAACATGTTCTACTACCACATTTATACTCCTTTACCTTCTCTTCACTATTGTGGTGCATTCTGTTTGTTCTTGTTTTAGCATGTACGTGTATAGGGTGTGTGTGTGTATGTGTGTTCATATGTGTGAGGATCATCTCCATGCCTTGGGCAGTTGACAGAGGTTGAATCCAAGTGTCTTCCTCGATCTCTCTGTACTTCATTTATTGAGGCAGCATCTCTAAAATGAACCTGGAGCTTGCCAATTTGGCAAGTCTAGTTGCACAGTTTGTCCATAGATCCCTTATTTTTGTCTCGGGAACACCAAGATTACAGGCAGACTGCTATGCCTGCCCATCTTTTATGTGGATCAAAACTCTGGTTCTTACACTTGCAGAGCGAGAACTTTATCAATTGAGCCGTTACTCAGCTTTAGGGTCCACTACTTACACTTCTGATTTCTTCCAACTCCTGTGGATCATTCCTGGAATATCATTCTGCCACACTATTGCAGTGCTCTTCCCTAATCCTAGTTCTTTCCTGGAAATTTTCATATTTTTCCATGAGGATCATCTTTCCTAGTATTCCATGACCCTTACTGTCATCTTATTGAAAGATTCCATCCCTCTTCACAACTTTTAGCCTTCCTATCTTCCTTCCTACAATTCAATTGGTCCCTGTAGAAATATACCAATATTCCAACACCATTCACCCATCCTTTCACCCCTAGTGTCTATCCATTCCATCATCTACTGTTACTAAGTTTCTCATAACTCAGTGGCTCAAGTCCTAGAAAATACCATCTACTAAATTATGCTACTTGTTCTGTATTCCCATCATCTTTATCAGTCCCTTCTAGAAACTATTCACACACAAATGTTCGTATATCTTGCCTCCCATGTATCAGTGGATCATTCTTGGAAGAGATCATCTACCACAATCAGTCTTACGCTCAGTTTCAACAGTACATTCCTAGGATATAGTATGTCATCCATAATCTGCTCTTCGATTGTCCTTTGTCCCTATTGTAGTGAGATAGTCCTTCTGTAGCACTGACCACGCCCATTGGGGGGGTGGAGCCTTGGGCGGAAGTGACCTGGGGAAGGAGGTCGGAGGGGGCCAGGAAAGGCTCTCTTTCTGGCGTGACTCGGACAGGAGAGGATCGGGTTGAATTTCCTGGTGTTCATCTGTCTAGGTTGTAAGTTATTTCTCCCTGAATAAACATCTATTCGGCCTATTTGTTTATCCTGATCCTTATTTACCGCAATACCCTATGAACTATTCCTAGAATTATATCATAATTATATACATATTTTTGCATCTATTCTCATTCTTATATCCAAATGGAAACTGTCTTTTAAAATCAATATTATTTTCATTTTTTGAATATAGGGAAGGGGGCAAACACACCTGCCATATTTTTTAGGTGTCCTTGGAGATCAAATCAGAGGGTCAAATCCCCTGGTGCTGGAGTTATAGGCAATTGTAGCTGCCCAATAAGGGTGCTGGGATCTGAACTCAGGACCCCTTGATAAGTAACACAAAGGTACTCTTTACCATTGAGTCATCTTTCTAGCCTCTGGAATTGATTTTTTTAAAAATACATTTACAAACTTCTTTTGTAGCTAACTCCTATATAATATAAAAACATGGTTACTATTTTCTATTCAAAATATGACCGCTTTGTCCAAAATTGTTCTACTCTATGCACCTCCTTTCTTAAGTTTTTGATTCATTTTCCATTCACATCTGCTGAATAATAAGATTACTATATTTCTTAACTTTTCCCTATAAGTTGCTAAGAACAGTACTACTATTCAAGACAGGAAACAAATGATCAGAGGGAAAAAATTAAAGTAAGATTTTAAGCAATCAAGTATACTTTGTCCAACAGATTTTGTCAATGAGATCTTTCATGGTCATCCTGTCCCATTCCTCAGCATGCGGTGCTTGCCATGGTGCATCAAAGGGGATCTGTAATGAAAGGTCATGTGCTCATGAGTGAAGAAAACTGCCACTACTGCTCTATCCTTCTCTTCAGAGAAGTCTTCATGTAAACTTCTAAAAACTTGTTTCTTAGTGTACAATTGGCTTGAAAGTGCATAGAGAGGTGAGATAAATCTGGAATTCATGCCTTAATGCTACTGTCAAACAAAAGTAATAATATATATATATGTATGTATATATATATATATATATATATTTGTAATGGGAATAATGATGGTCATTATTAATATCAACATTATTATTGGAAGATTACACCAATTTTTAGCCCCCCCCATAAACGTTAATGCAGAAAGTGCGTCTCTTCTTTACTACTTAAAGTGGCATTGTAGATACATAACTGTAAGTAGATAAATGGCAGAAATGTCATATGCTCAGAGGCACAGAAGTAAAGTCACATAGGCAGTAGTATAAACAAGAGTGGTTTTGAATTCTGGTGCCCTTGCTGCACGGTTTTGAGTAAATTATGTAAACACTTGGTATTCATTTTCTCCATCTGTCAAGTAGAAATCCTTCCAGCCTTTGCAGAGTTGCTGATTACCCTAGAAAGGCATGCATCAATGCAAATCAGTAATGTCCCTTGTACCTTACAAGGATATTAATCAGTTTCATTCTTCAGCAACATGTTACATACAAATCAAACACACAAATTACCTCTTTTCCCATTTCATCCATTGTCCTCCAAAGGTTGTTATAATCCAAGTAGGCCAAGGGATTCCACACAGGTGGAAATGCACCACGAAATGGGTAAGTTTTCCCCTGGAACATAAAAGTAAAGGGAATCTATTTGAAATGGAAAATACTTAAGTTACATGACATCCTAAAACCATAGGAACCAGGTAGACCTGTGATGCAGATCTGTAATCCCACAGGCTCAGGAAGATTCCAAGTTGTCAGTCTGAGCAATTTAGTGAGATTCTGTGCTAGAATATGAAGGAAAAGGGGGCTGGTGATGTTATTCAATGGTAGACTGTTTAATACGTGTGTATGTGTATCCATCCTCATGTTCCACCCCCAGAATTACAAAAAAATAATTAAAAATAAAAGCCAATTAATATAAATTATTTTCTATGTGTGTATGTGTACATGTGTGTGAAAGAGAGACAGAGAGACAGATGGGGAGAGGGGAAGAGGGAAGGGAGAGAGGAGACATAAAGTACAATATGTCTCCAAAAGTGTGTGACAGTAGACTTGACTATGTGGATACACATGATGATCTGGTCACCTCTGGATATCTTCTGTGATTGCTCTCTACATTATTTTCTTGAGACAGGGTCAGTTATTGAACTTGCTGATCACTAGTTTGACCAGACTGTCTCGTCAACAAGCATCTAGGATCTGTCTGCTTCTACACCCCTAGCCTGGAAACAGAGTCGTATACCACTGTGTTTGACTCTTTTTTACAAGGGTGCTCAGGGTCTGATCTTAGGTCCTCATGCCTTTACAAAAAAACAAAAAAACACTGAATAATCCTCCAACCTCAATCTAAAACATTTTCAAAGCAACAGGATCCTCTACCACATGGATATAAATATATTTTCCCTAAATAAGCCTAATTTTAATAAGATTGATAAAATTTCTTCTAATGTTGTATTAGCTTTGACTCATTTTTACTCATTAGGACAAGTAAGTATATAAAGATAAAACTAATTTTAGTATAAATGCTGAAACCATAATATTCTTATCAAATCTCTCTAAAAAGGTTATCTTATATGAGTGATAGTATGAATAAATAGAACACCATCTTGTGACACATACAAGTCACATCGCAGACCAAATTTTAAAGGTTTTCACAGGATAAATGAAGACTGGCTAGACTACTATATCTGATGTAATGAATTAGACTATTAGCAGTGTAGAACAGGCATTTACCAATTGGAATTGTTTAACATCTATTTTTTTTTTCTAGATGTTCCCTGGTTTCCTTTTGCAAAACTGCCACTCTTCTTTGTAGGTATTATGTAAGGAGTGTGGTGCCAGATGCCATTAAAATAAGGATAGGTTAGATTCCTCTAAACTTGTGATCTAGCCCAGCTATGAGCTTGTGATGTGACTAATCATTGGCTAATCATACACTGTTGGAAGATTTGACCTTGTAGTAAGGTCATCATAACCGAAGTACAGAAGAAAGTTGATTCTCTTCCTTAAGACAGCAAGTCACAGAGATGTTTCCTGTTGTAAAGACCATGATTCTTTTCCCTAACTTGTCAGAGTTCTCCTGCTTTCTGTGAGATTCTGAAGTGTGGTGTTCTAGCCTCATAAACTCCCTTTGTTAGCTCAAATAATTTGTGTGGCTTAGTACTAAGATTTGTAATGTCAAGACAACTTGATATTTAGAAACCATTTACTTCACTTTATTGTTTGACACATACTATGCTAATCAAAAACAAGGGTGAATAGAGAGTGGATTCTTAGAAAAAGAAAAGAAAGACTAGGTCATTTCTAAGGTACTATCTACAAATGTAACTCTTTTCAGTGGTTCCTCGGGTTCTTCACCTGTAGATCCAACCAACTGCAAGTAGAAAGCATTAAAAAAAAACTATCTGTACTTAACATGCACAGACCTTTTCTTGTTACTATTCCCTCAACAAAAATTATAGCAATTATTTAGATAGCATTTACATATACTCTATATTATAAGCAATCTAGAGATGATTTAAAGTACACAGGAGAATATGAATAGGATAAAGGAAAAAAATCCACTTTATTAAAGCACTTAGACATCCCCAGATCTTGGTTTTCACAGGAAGTGTTGAAATGAATCCTCTGCAAATACCAAAGGGCAATTATGGTTAAAAATAAATGACTTCTCAATATTCATAAAGCATAAATGTTTTCTGCTAGTAAAATTTCTCATGAAAATTTGATTTTTTTTATTAATAAATATCTATAGAAAGTCAACTGCATGCATGGCATAGTATCAAAAGTTGGGCCAGACTTTCAAAAAGGTTCAACAAAAAATCCTGACTGTCAAGGCAGAAGCACAATGCATGACAGTATGTGCATACCCTCCCCACCCCCACAACTAAATAAGAAAACATTGCATCCATTAAATGACAAAGAAGCAAATTTCCTTTTCACTAGCAAATTCAAATAACCTTGTTTGATTATGTAATCTGATTTCTTATCAGAAAATGCTATGTTGAACTGCTACAATACAACCTTTTGGGACTCCAAATCCTTTATCACTGTCATGAGCATCATCAAGCATTTATTGAACTTTCCTCATGCCTGGCAGTGGCTGAACCTCTTCATATGCGTTATCTCATGTAATGCTTGCATCAGTTCTGTGGAGTGTGGAGGACTACCAATATTTCTCTTTTATAAACAAGGAAAGTAAAGCCTAGTGACAGCAGCTAGGAAATAGTACGAGGATAATTTCTTCCCCCAAAGGCTTTCTTCATAAAATGTGTTTTCCTTACTCCTACATGGTTGATGGTACATGGAGATAGGTTCATTTTAGATGCATTTTAAACTTCCCTAATAAAATAAAGAAAACGCTCATGTGTGAAATTTATCAAATCTTCTCCTTGTACCTTTTCTGTTTCTAAAGAGTAAAATACAGAAAAAAAAAAGAACCATGGGAATGATTGTCAAGAAATGAGGCCATCTTTGGGAAAGGCTAACACATTTTCTGAAAGAAATGGACAGAAACATTTATACAAGACAAAAATTACCCAGGAAAGGAGAGAGACTGGACTTATTTGATAGTTTGGGAAGCCTTCAGAACAGCTGGTTCTTGTACAATTTTTCTATTATGGTGGAAGCTTCACCCCAGCCCCTGGCATCCATTACCCAAAGAGTCTGGGATATTAAGGTGGAGGTTCCAACCAAGCTCCCTCCCCTATCTCCAAACTCAGCTGCTTCTCAGAAAGACCATGTTTAATGGATACAACACTCCCGGATGGCTTTCTCATACTCCCAAAGAGGAAATGGGAAAGAGAGACCAGGAAACCACAAGTCTATTTTCTGGGGGACAGTTTACATATCCTGTGGGAGTGATCTTAAGCATCTCTGGGGGGAGGGATCATCATTTAGGGGCTTTCTGAGGTGCAGTAGGGTTTGGAGGGAGATTGAGGAGGAGGGCTTGGGTGGAACTTTCACCCTATTTGGGTATACCGATGCCAGGGGCTGGGGTGAAGCTTCCACAATAACACCCAAGACACTTTAAAGGTCCCATCATAACACTTTCCTAACTTGAAATCTTGAAAAATAATATGTATTTCCTCTATAAAATGACTTTGTACTCAAATGAAAGTCATATATAAAACATATCTCTGATTTGAAAAGAAAAATTTGAGATAAGGTCTCACTATATAGCCTTAGGGTTGGAGCTTAACATGTAGACAAGGAAAACAAGTACTTTAAAAATATTCTCATTGATCATTATATAAAGTATTATAAGTACCATATTACTAAGGAAATTCTCCTCATAGAACAATACCAACTTGAGTATGCTTACATAAGTTTTAAGGGCCCCTCAATACAAGCCTTCATAGACACACAAAGACCCAGAAAATGTCAAAGAATAAGGGGCTGATAGAATCTAGTCTGGCAATCTCTATAATAATGGAAACCATAGATAGTTTAAAAGATGCAAACTTCTACCTTCTGACAAAGGCACCAAGTAGTTTCCTGTTTATCAGTTTCTGGCTTTTCTATTCTCATTTGCAGTACACAGATGCTGCATGGATCTGGCAACTTTAAGGCAACAGCTTCCTCCATTGTCACAAACACCTAAAAGAGCTTATTTATCAATGGCTACTTCTAGATTACACAAATGGAGATGACTTTGCCATGTGTGACATACTGGAAGAGGGCCTGGGAATGTCTCTTGGCCCGGGGGAAATATGCAGAGGCTCTCTCAGTTTCCTAAAATGAGACTGCATAGTTTCTCAGCAAGATGTCAGCAGTTTTTCAATCCAAACCAAATTATCTTCAAAAAATGCCTTCATGACCTGAGAGTGAGGCAGGGACTCTAAAATACTACTTCCAAATAATTATTACTTTTTAAAAATAAAAGGAAATAAAGGACCTAGAGTAGCAATTGTTAATGTTATGCCTATTTTCTAAAACCATAATATCTTTCCAAAACAACCTTTAATCTCTGAAGGACTGACATGGCAGGAGTTATTTATGTTGAATAGAATACAATGTTCCTGGAATCATGTTCCCAAATATTTAAGTCCACTGGAGAATAACATCTTTAATATATCAATGTTCTTAGTAATAGGAGGTTATTAGCAGGACATGATAGTTTATGGTTCTCATATACCACAAGATATGCTGTTTATATTAAGAAAGTAGTACTTACTGACTAAAGAGTGAAAAGTTTCTCTTCTTTATACTTTCAAATTTTAGTTAAGCAAAGGGAAGTGAGAACAATCACAGTATTTTTAGGAACTAGGGTGGCTGCCAAATAGTTTTCTTTAATCATTTGGAAAATAAGCAGCTTCTAGATTGGTTTCAGAACATGCCTTTACAACCAATATGAATTCCTTGGGACTTGCCTGTGTCACTGTTTTCCAATAATGCTTAAAAGAGAAATCTTTCCTACAGTTCATAATGCAGGAAATAAAGGAATCATCTAAAAAGAAACTCATTAACTCACAAAGCATCATTATATTGTTTAAAAAAGGGTCAAGACCATGTTGAGGAAACCCACAGAAACTGCTGACCTGAGCAAGTGGGAGCTCATGGACTCCAGACTGACAGCTAGGGAACAATGCATAAGACTGAATCAGGACCCCTAAACATGG